CTTACCCTGCAGTTTCTATTTGTGCAAGGCTTCCATGGAAGTCAACTCTACGTATCTCTGATGAAAATGAACCATCTTCTTTCTGTGGCTGTAATTCATTCTTCCTGAGCTTTCCATTTATTACCATGATTTACAACAATATTGTGAGCATTATTAATCCAAATTGCAGTCAATGGGAGTTTGGCATGGTTTTACATTGCAGTACCGTGTCTGAAATAGTTTTGGCTGAAAGAATTTGGCATGAAACTACTTGTCACTCCCTGGTGTTAACAAATGCATGCAAAACACTCATCATGCCCCAATGCACCCAAGTCAAGAGAAGGGAAAATGGGAGAAAGGGATCATTACATATTTGAGATCTCTGAAATTCAGGAATGTATTAAAGCAATGTCCCCAGAGGACATTGTCCCTGTGGCTTACGAGCCTAAGGAAGGTACGCTGTGCTCAGAGGTCCTGGAGCACAGACCTCAATGCTGACCCACTGATGTTGGGCTGTGCTGACTGCCTGAGGGACCTAAGTATCTCCTATGTTAGGGTGGGGATTTTTTAGACATTAAATTAAAACCATTTGGAAGCTGTACATATGTGTTTAGGGAGGTTATAATTTTAACTCAAAGGCTGCAGTCAGTTTCCATTGCCAAAATTGCTCAACAGCTCAGCAATTTTGCTTCAGCAGTCTTGGGAAAAAATGACTTTTACGGTATTTAGCACCCAGAAGTTGGAGGAAGAACTATGGATCATGTTTTATTACTATTATTATTAATAATAATAATACTGTTATCCTTCTCCTTTCTCTCTTTCTCTCTCTCTCTCATTTTCTCTATTTCTTTGCATTTTAAGTTTAAAACTTCTAGATAATTTGAAGAAACAGATTGTATAAGAGGAAAAGGAAAGTCAAGAAATCACATGGTCCTGATTAAGTCATGCTAACAGTGAAGATGTCACTGTGAGGATAGGCAATCTTTAAATTAGAAGCATAATTTTAGTCTCTAGTTAAAGATGTGAGTTAGAATCAGACAGACTTTTGATTCATGTACCTGTAAACCTAGTTCAGTGGGGCTGTGAACCGCACAGAAGACACACGCTTACTGACAAGAGAGTTGCCTTGTCTCAGTGCCTTTTCTTGACCCCTCAGAATAATCTATGCTGTTCTTGGAAACAGAGTGAGCAGAACTTCAAAATCCCTCATTTAAACAAAATGTTGTGTTTTATAAGCAGAGACAAGACAACTCCAAACTGATATCAGCAGGGTAAATTATCAGCTTTGGAAGATCAGAAGTCCAATATCTAACTCATTAGGCTTGGACTGAGCTCCAGAGTTTACGTCAGTGGCAGATTTGGGCCACATTCTTTTTCTTCACATATGAGGAAATTATCCACTGAATTGGAAGGTGCACACCCTCCTCACTTCATGTCCACCACTATGGAGCTAAGTATTTGTTTGCTTTTTAAATTCAGGGGAGGAGAGCAGAAACAAGCTAATCTCATAAAGGTTCACCCCACCCTGTGCTTGGCTCCTCTTTCTTGGCCATTCTCCATGGTAGCAGCTGGCTGGCTGTTTTTCTTCTGCAATTGTGTTCATGACATTTCCTGCAACTAGGTTTTTCTGAAGGTTTCCAGCAGTCGTTTCAGCCCCCTGTCCCCTTTGCTTTGGTGTCCTCTGCCACTAACCATGGCCTTGTGCCTAGTTCACACAGCTAGCATATATCTCATGCCTGTGCACATACTCTATATCTTCTCAACAGATACAATGAACTTCTGGGTCTTGTTTTCTTGTTTGACAGTCTAGTTGACTTACCAAGAGCCAGTGCCTAGTGTAAGGGATGCGGAGCAGCTATGTTGCTATAAGTGATGTGAGTAGAGAGCCCCAAGCTACCTGCTCCGTCAGACAGGAATGGACATGGGCAGCATTCCTGGCTGTTGCTGACCAGTATCCTGGCTCTTACTCCATTTAACACATTATAGTTTCTTGAAGAAGCAGTGTGTATCCCTCTCCATGCCAAAGAACTCGTGTAAAGAACTGAGAGAAAGGAGAATTCATATATAGATCCTAGATTACTTGGTGTGCCCGTACTTTCCCTCCCTGCTGTACTAAAAACTGCATGCACTTTCCTTTTATAAGCTTTTATAAAACACCCAAGTCACTTAATCTTTTAGTGTAAAAGCCTACTTGTATATTAAGCTTTCTACTATCAATGTCATTAAATCAATACCCTCAGTGCCTAGGGGATCTATATCATAGATCAGTCTAAGTTTAAGAAATACAGTATTGAGGCACTGTAAATCAATACCCTCAGTGCCTAGGGGATCCATATCATAGATCAGTCCAAGTTTAAGAAATACAGTATTGAGACACTGTAGATTGCTTTGTTGTTGTTGTTGTTGTTTGTTTGTTTGTTTTTTGTAGATCAATGAGCCACTGAAGGTCAGTGAAGGCTTATTCCCCACTGTTGCCAGTTCCTTATATATGTTGATTTCTAATTTAATGAGTTTTTAGCAAAACTTCAATGAAGTCTAAGGAGGTGAATGTTAGATGCAGTTACCATGACTGGCACTGTACAATCTTGTGGGGCCTACACTGTGTGATATTAAAATATGGAATATATTCTCTAAAGAGAACTAAATTGACAAAATGTCATTTACTCTTCTTTTATGCACATTACATATCTATTACTTTCCTGTGTGGATATACACAAACTTCTGGACAGCACATAGTCCAGCGATTATAGAGCCTCACTTGGTGTACCTCCTTATCTAATGAGTGACATCTGTGTTTAGAGTTAAAGGCGGAGAAAAACAATAATTTGTCCACTGCCAGAGACATTTAATTGAGGGTAAAACATACATCTGGGTTTTATTTGTGTTAAAAGATACACAGCTGAAGTGCGCATCTCATTCCAACCTGACCCTGAAGTGCCCTTTCCATTAGCATATTAAGAATCAAGATTTGTCTAGAACTATCTTGCAAATAGGAAATGATAGTTATTGTATGATCCTAGCTGCTATTACAGCACCTCTCTCTCTCTCTCTCTCAGCCACTGTATGTCTGTCTGTCACACAACTGAAGTAATTTGTAATACAAACAGACGGGATGAATCCTTTCAAGCGCTTTCTTCAGGAAAGCTCTAGACATGATGGGTATAACATTGTACAGCATAATAGGCTAACATTATGCTACGTGCCCTTGCTGCTGGTGAAACAAAATGAACTCTGCCAGTGAAACTGGGTTAACTGAAGTCACTGAAGGCATTTTTCCAGCCATGGGTTATGGATTAGTTTCTAAACTGGTGGTCTTCAGAGATGGTCTGAGTATCAAGAACCATGAATAAGGAAAAGAAGTCATTTCTAAAAGGTGGTTTATATTTTGTAAGCAGTTTGCAATTTGGAAGATGCGGAGAACCCCTGCTTTTATTTCCTTGTGATGTGGGACTTGAATCTTGCCTTGTTATAACTTCCTAATACAGCCCACTTGTGAGAGTAGAAAGTGAGCAGCTCTGCACCCTGCCAGCACAGGGATTGTGCGTGGCCCAGAGTTATAACACGCTGTTGTTTTTTATTCTATTGCGCTTTTACTGCTAATATCCCCAATATATAAATTGCATTATGTGCATTGAGGCTCTGTATGGATGGTAACTACTCCTCATATCAAAAAACAAGATTTAGCACTGCAAAAATTCGTCCAGTGTTGATACAGCTAGGAGTTTATAAGTAACTAAGATTAATGCTAGTAGAGTTATCAATTTATTTTTCATGGTATTCTGCCATCAGACCACTGCTTTAATTAAAAACATGTACAATATAGCCAGTTAACTGCCTAAAACATGAAGGGGCCACTTTGTCTTATGATCATCTCCAAGAGACAGCAGACAGTTCTCCATCCAGCTACACTAGATTTTGGTTCCACATACTTCAGATCACTGTTTACTTGCTCTCCTCACAGAAAAAGGCCAGAGGATCTGGCTAGAACCAAAGGGGAAATAAAGACCTTTAGCACATAAGTAACAATATCATCTCTTCATTAAGCTATGCTTCTGTGAGTACCTGACCTGCAATATTAGCTGTTTCTAAGATGAGAGGAAAACAAGGTATCCAGGATCAGTCAAGGAATTAGGGTTTTTTTGAAGAGATGTTGCTCAAGCAGATGATATGAAAATTCCATTTGTATAATCCAGAGATATGAGTTAATTAATAAATGGGCTTATCTCCTGCATAGCTGCTTCAAGTGTGTGGAAATCCAGTGCAAATATTCTGGGTTAGGCAGAAATGCTTTGCTATCACTAGTAAGGAGGGAGCTGAGCTACCTCGTGCCTGATACTTCACTGTTAGACCTGTGGGAGAGGAGATGGAAAAATTGCATCAAGCTTCTTATACTTCCTTGAGTTGCAGTGTGATGTGTAGCGTTAGTCGTTTGCTTGTTTGTTTGCTTGTTTTCACTAAAACAGTAAGAGTGTTGGTTATATAGTGGCTTGACAGCATTGTCCTTGTGTTGCAATGGTCTAGAGGTTCTTAATTCCCCACTGATTTCTTTATGTTGAAAACTCCTGCAATTAAACAAATGGCATTATGGTAATGAGTAACACAATGTAGACTTTATATATATATATATATATATATGTATATATATATATATATGCACACACACAGACACACACATGTATAGAAAAGAGTAGAATGGATTGTCAAAACCCTTTGGTTTTCATGTTTTAACATTTTCACTTCTGCTTTTTTACTCCAATATTATACAAATTATTTTGTCATGAAACTGGTGTAACAGCAAAGAATGGTGTGTCAGACCTTTCCGAATGGCAAAGATGGAGTTAATGGCTAAATCTGTTCATGGAAGATAAAAATGTGGTGGTCATAATCTGTTAAAATAAAATCTTGGATTATGGCATTGGTCGTTCAGTTTGATTGTATTTTTAAAGGTAATCACTATTGTAGAAAGAAAATGTTTGTGAGTGTTCTCAGTATTTTTGCTCAATATCTTTTCTTTCTTTCAGACTTCTAAACAATACAGCCTAGCAGTAAATAAGAGCAACAAGGTCCATCTTTACTGTGCATTTCTGGACTACAGGTATGTTACATAATTTGAAGTTCTTTAACTTTGTTTAATTTGATAGCACAGATTTTGTCATCCTAGATGTTACCTATTTTCTTCTTGTACTCTTTGATCATCGAAACTGTTAAATTGTTAATGAAGCCACTGGGTTTACAACAAATGCAATTCATAGTCACCATTTACTGTAAACAGGGAGTTTTTACTCAATGACTCTTTGTGAAGTACATGATTGAGAGACTGAAAGATTTTGAAATCAATTGCAAAATGCATGATACTGATCACGCTTATAATGGTTTGTGAGTGTGTCCATTTGGGCAAAGGACTGGCTGTTTCAAATTGGCATCCCTCCAGCAGAGCCATTGTTTTCCCTGGATCTGTGCCTGATCCACAATAAAATGAGAGGAGAATGGGGCCCCCTTGTTTTATTTCAGAACTGTGAGTTTTTGTGCAGAAACATTATGACCCTGAATGCAAAACAGAATAAAAGGTAAATAAATATAACCCTAAATTTCACCAGAGGAAAAAAAAAA